AAATTTTGGGGGCTTAAAAAAAACATTGTTTTTTTCTCCCCCCCCAGTCAAAAAAAAAAATCTGCCATCCCTGGACAAATTAGGAATATTTGTTTTCATCGATACAGGGATACTCGTGAACATTGGCGTGTATTCATGGATGCCAAGGGAAGCAAGGTACCACAAAAAAATTACAAGAAGAAAACATAGAACATAATGTATCTTTTGTCGCTCTGTGTTTCATTAATTTCCTTCAATTCACAAGAGGCTGAATGTATCTCACCTGAGAAAGCACCCAAGCGAGAAAAAAAAACCAGCGCCCCTTTGTCTCTGTATGTGTAACCCAACTATCTGATGCTGTCTGGTCAAAATAGTATGACATTGTTGCCGCCCGTAGTGTTGTATGAAAGGGGAAGCCAGCAAGCATTTGGCCTCCCTTTATATATTTTTTGTATATAAAAATGTATAGCCAACAGTGTTGAGCTACACTGAGTGAGTTCAGCAGGGAATGGTCCTGGTGCATCAAAAAAAGGCTTAAGGGAAGCCAGTTTGGATTTGACTTCAGACCAATCAAATCACATTAGAAACCAAACGTCATTGACAGAAGGCTTGAATTGTTGCATCCCGTTGTGTTGTTGGTCATAACCCAAAGACATAATATTTAATAACAGCTGACATAACGTGTCATAACCAGTCATAACATGGTCATAACACTGTCATAAACCCATATATATTTACACCAGTTGTGACATATATTGAGTTAAGCCCACATTTATTCAAATGTGTTTTTTTCCTGCCAATCAGTTTCCTTTCATTTGAAAGTTTGTTTCTTAAATCCTATGCTGTTGTTGCAATGAATTCTTTACAGTCATGTTTTTTTCACAACATTTTAAATAACTTGTAGAAAATACACTTTATGACACTGTCAAGAAGCATTGTGACTATCATAATCATACAAGCCAGATAGGCCTATCACCTACAGGCCCTTATATCATCATCAGTCAAAAAGAGGGTGTCTTGTCCTGCTCCTGAATTTATCCCAGTCGTCAGCAACAGATAATTGGGGTAGGTGCATGTATGACATCAATGTGTGGCAATTACAATGATAATTTAATATGGTCAATCTCCTCTGGTTCTGCAGTGCATGTGATCTCCCCTGGTTCCTGCAGTGCATGTTGATCTCCTCTGGTTCCTGTACTGCATGTGATCTCCTCTGGTTCCCTGCAGTGCATGTGATCTCCTCTGGTTCCTGCAGTGCATGTGATCTCCTATGGTTCATGCTGTACATGTGATCTCCTCTGGTTCCTGCTGTACATGTGATCTCCTCTGGTTCGTGCTGTACATATGATCTCCTCTGGTTCATGCTGTACATGTGATCTCCTCTGGTTCCTGCTGTACATGTGATCTCCTCTTGTTGTGCTGTACATGTGATCTCCTCTGGTTCCTGCTGTACATGTGATCTCCTCTGGCACATATTAAGTGGCAGAATGTTAAGTGTTGATCAGGCTTCAGTGTGCTTTAGGTTGATATGACCCAGGGTAAGATATCACTTTAGTTTGATATGACCCAGGGTAAGATATCACTTTAGGTTGATATGACCCAGGGAAGATATCACTTTAGGTTGATATGACCAGGGAAGATTTCACTTTCAGGCTGATATGACCCAAGGTAAGATATCACTTTAGGTTGATATGACTCAGGGTAAGATATGTCTTTAGGCTGACATGACCCAGGGTAAGATATCATGTACCTACTGGATCTGTATCTCTTCGGTTAGAAGCCTGATTGATCTAACCAGCGATTATGGTAAGGCCTCTGAGAGATTCAACATGGCTGACAGGGAATAAAAGCACTACAGGATGTTATCTCGTGCAATGTAAAAACAGAAGTTCAGAAAGTGTTCAATGTGAATGTTGGAACCGTCACTCAACTCCCATTGTTTTTATTAAAAAGTGTTTCCCCCTGGCTCATTCAAAAAACCATCTACCCTCCAATAAAAAGGTCATTCTAACATTTCCTGTTTCTGGAGGGGAAAACCAAAATTACTACACATTTAAATACACTTTAGGGAAAAAACAAAAATTTACTAAAAGATATATACCCCAATTAAAATACCCCGGATATACTACAGATACTGACATACTACAAAATCGGGGAAACTGCAGTGTTGCAGGTCAGGGGAAATTTTACACTAGGGTTTCCCAAAATTTGGGGGGGTCACTTGAAATGTCCTTGTTTTGAAAAAAAAAGGAAAATTTTTGGGGTCCTTTAAAAAATAACAAAAAAATTGTCACAATAGAGTGTGGGAACCTTTTTAAATTTTTGTAAAGGCTATTGTGGGCTGGAAAGGGGCTGTTTGGAATGGAATTTTCTTATAGGGTACAGAGGCCCATTATCAGCAACCATCAGTCCTGTGTTCCAATGGCACGTTTGTGTTTTGCTTAATCCAATTTTATCATTTAAAAAGGCTAATTGATCATTAGAAAACCCTTTTGCAATTATGTTAGCACAGCTGAAAACTGTTGTGCTGATTAAAGAAGCAATACAACTGGCCTTCTTGAGACTAGTTGAGTATCTGGAGCATCAGCAATTGTGGGTTCAACTTTCTTCTGAAACTCGTCAGTCTATTTTTGTTCTGAGAAATGAAGGCTACTCCATGTGAGAAATTGCCAAGAAACTGAAGATCTTGTACAACACTGTGTCCTACTCCCTTCACAGAACCGCGCAAAACTGGCTCTAACCAGAATAGAAGAGGAGTGGGAGGCCCCGGTGCACAACTGAGCAAGAGGACAAATACATTAGAGTGTCTAGTTTGAGAAACCAGACGCCTCACAGGTCCTGAACTGGCAAGCTTCATTAAATAGTACCTGCAAAAACAACAGTTTCAACGTCAAACAGTGAAGAGGCGACCTCCGGGATGCTGACCTTCTAGGCAGAGTTGCAAAGAAAAAGCCATGTCTCAGACTGCCCATCTTACTCTTTTATTTTTATTGGCCAGTCTGAGATATGACTTTTTCTTTGCAACTCTGCCTAGAAGGTCAGCATCCCGGAGTAACGAATCACCTCTTTACTACTAAGAGGAGACATAAAAACAATTCTACTGTTCTGCTCCATTAGAAAGCAAGTGGGGATTCCAGGAGAAACTTGATCACCAGGTTACAACCCTGGCTTCCATCCTCTGTTGTTGAGCCTTACAGTGGGGAAAAAAATAGTATTTAGTCAGCCACCAATTGTGCAAGTTCTCCCACTTAAAAAGATGAGAGAGGCCTGTAATTTTCATCATATGTAACACGTCAACTATGACAGACAAAAATGAGAAAAAACAATCCAGAAAATCACATTGTAGGGATTTTTAATGAATTTAT